ACTTTCGATTTGTTGCCAGCCGTCGGCGCGTGCAGGGTAACCTTCAGTCTGCGCCCTCTGCTCCTGAGCGTTGATTTAGGCTTTGTAAGGAATCCTGGGTCACATCCTCGTCCTTGCCCTCCCACTGTGCAGACTTCATACCTTGACACTTAGCATGATTTACTTGTTGAGCAGGGTTTTTATCCGACTGATACGCTGAGATTTTGATCGACCACTCTAGTCTGCCTATGTTTTTTTTCCATTTAGACAACCTGCCTCGACTTTTGTCCTTCCTTTTTGCTAAAAGACAAATGGTGCCTGCTTTGTTCGCCCTCTGTATTTGACATTATAAATGTACGGCCTAGGACCTGCTGGAGGACGTTCCGCTGCTTTTCGTGCTAGGACTCCGGGGGCGGAATTTCAATATTTATGCGATAGTAATGTTGGTGGAGACCTACCACCACGTCTGGTTCGGATTCAGACCACCGAGGCGGCTGAAGACTTTTGGAAAGCAACCGAAGTTATATAATATCAGGAATGGGCGCACACCGATCTATTGGCCTCATGAAGCAAACAAGCTCCGTATGGGTTGCAAAGATGACGAACAGGCAACCAGGAGAGCAATATAGGATAGGAGGAAGAATGCAGGCATCGATGAATCGCCAGACTAAGGGTTGAGGTGTGTGGGAGGAATGTAATAAAGAAGTTTACGAACTTTATTAAATAGGGACTCAATACGGAGGGAAAAGTAACAGGAGGACAAAGTAACGCCAAGGTACCGGAAAGAGGATACCTCGTTAGGAAAGATATCAGAGGTTTCAGGACCGGGAGAGGGCCGCAGTCGGAAAATACACAACTGATTTTCGGTTGTTCACTAAAAGATCATTTTCCTCCGACCATACTAGGACATGGCTTAGGCCATCCTTTAGAGACTGGAGGTGTGTCTGACTCCTGGGAGGGTGTCCAACAACCACATCATCAGCATACTTAACCAAAAGACAGTTGGTAGGGAAACTTATATCGTCGGTGTGGAGGGAGAAAAGGCGAGGGGATAAAATGGAAGTTTGAAGGACTCCGTAGTCATTGGGAGGGACCATAGATTTCCGCTTGCCAGACTGGACAAATTGAGTGCGGGAACTAAAATAATCGACGACCCAGCCTGGAGAGCCGCACATGGATGTTTTGGTAAGGAGAAGAGAGCGCGGGACGGTATTGAAGGCGAAGGAGTAGTCAAGAAAAGCGCATGCGTACTCGCGGCAACCCTTTTCTAATGCTTTTAGAGCAGAGTGGACCACAAGAGCAACAGCGTCTAAAGTCCTGCGCGTGGCTTTATATGCAAATTGCAGAGAATCGGAAAAACTGGAAGAAAAAGGTTTTATGATATCTAGGGCGACTCATTCAGCAAGCTTCAGTAGTGCGGAAGAGCAGGCAATTGGACGAAAAGTTTTAGGTCCAAAATTAGCGGTTTTTGGGGGGATGAGAGTGATTCTCACTGTGCGCCAGGTGTCGGGAATCTTGGACTCCATGAAAGGCATGTTAATAAGGTGCTCCCACCTGGTATGCCCATCATGCTCGCTTTTCATTGGCTCCTCTCGCGCGCAAGTTGTACCTAACGGCCTCGTATGACGTTGGTAGATTGATGCTGTGGTTGATCAAGCTGGTTCCTGATCTCCAAGCTCCTCAGTTTGCTTTCGGCTCTGCCGAGCACTTGGGCAGCGTCCAAGTCGAACCTGTGATTATTTTCTAGACTACATGGCGACGTGTGGTCGGGCATCCCCCCGCTTTACGGCTAAGACATGTTCATGCATGTGCGTTCTCAAACGTTTGTTGGTCATGCCGTGGTAGTTGGCTAGACAGTCTAGACATTCCACGCGGTACATGACGCCCGACGTATCCGCAAGTGATAGCCGGTCCTTGGACTGCATGAGAAAGCGGCGGATGGTGGGCTCCGGCCTGTGTCCAACGCCTAAGTCCGCCGGTCTTTGCATACGGTCAGCGGGTTTGGAGACGCTCTTCACGTAGGGCAAAACAGGGAAGATTTCTGGTCTTTGTTCTTGCTCATCGCCTTTGTGTCTTTGGTAAAAGCATTTGTTTACAAAACTCCGAGGACATCCATTGGCAAGAAAGCGATGCCATAGGGTTTTACGCTACCGCATCTTCACGGCTTCTATGCTGCAGTGTGTGTTTATAAAGCGAAAAAGTGTCCGGACGCAACTGTCCTTATGCGACGAAGACTTTTGTTCATGTTTGTCGCTTCTCGAAAGACATCAGTTTGGAGGGTTCCGTCTTCCTGCCTCGTTACCTGGACGTCGAGTAAAGGGAGCACTCCGTCTTTTTCTTCCTCCATGGCAAGTTGAACTTGTGGGAAAACCGAGTTCAATTCCCTTTTAAAGTTGTCTTTCGCGTCTCGGTCTAGGATGACAGAGATGTCATCTACGTACCGCATCCAGAATTTCGACTTTTAGGAGTGAAAGACCCGAGTTTCCAGTTCACGCAAGGCCGCCTCACTCAGGTAGCCAGGAATTGCGGACCCCATCGGGCTCCCGGGATTTGCTCGTAAATGTGACTGTCAAACGCGAAGTAAGTGCATAAGCAGTAGTTCCATCGCGTGCGTTCTCTTAAAGGGTTTTCCTTCCTCGTCGTACCTTTTTTCCAGTAGGTCATTGACGACTCATGACCAAGTCGTGCGTAGAGAGACGACGTCAAAGGATACCGTTATTTCGTAGGGAGCTGTTGTGGCAACCCCGAGTCTTTCCAGGAAGTGCGTTGAAGATACGGCAGTGTGTTCGGAGCCATCCACAAGCATCTCCAAGCGCCTGGCAAGCTATTTAGCCAATATGTAGGTAGGCATGCCCTTCGGCGCCATTATGACTCGTAGGGGGACATTTAGTTTGTGAATTTTCGACAAGCCGTAGATACGCGCTAAGGTAGCATCTTATGTTCTCGTCTGTCACCAATCCTTTTCGGATATTGCCTTTTGGTTCCTCATTTGGTTCAGGCTCTTATTGATTTTGCCTAACAGTGTTTTTATGGGGTCAGAATCGACGATCTTATGTGACTAGTTGTCGCTTATTAGCTCCAGAGCCTTTGCGACGTAATCCAATGTGTCCAGGACTACTGTTGCCGTCCTTTGTTCGCGGCAACAGTGGC